TATATATATATATATATATATTATTCCTGTTTCTCACCCTACGCCATTTCCCACACCCCTCCCATGCTATCTTAGGTGTTTGCAGTTGTTTTCCATTACTTTTTCCCCCCACATTTTATTGATTCACAAAATTTCTTAAGTAATCTAACTACTTTCAATAGCAAGTTTAGCTGGTATGTAAATATCAGTGAATACTTGTCTGACTTCAGGCATGAAACTCTTGAGTAGAATGAATATAAGGTAGCACCTAGCTGATGCTATAAAGCTTACTATGATCATTAAATAGGTACTTTTTAATATATTTTTTAAATTCAAGAAAAGCAGTTTTAGCTTTAATAAATCAAAGAAATGCTAAGGAACTTTACTTAAAACTTAAAGCCAGGAAGCAGGATTCTGTTCAGATAGTAGGTACATGAACCTACTGGCAGCTTAAGACAAGACAAAAATCCTTAAAAGTGGAAAACAAAGCCTAGAAGAAAATCAGCAATGTTTTAGTCAAAAGTCATAAAATGCTATTTCACTAGCTCAATCTCATGTACTTAATCTATGTTCTTTTGTGGTCCAATCTTCCTAATTAGATTCTGGGATATAATATTCAACTCCAGACGTGTCTCTACAATTTAGTTGGCCATTTTCTTAGTTTTGGAACTCTTATTTCCGTGCATCTTTATTTAATATTCCTGGTATAGCACTCCTTTGAGAACCTCTTAGAGATCTAGTCTGGTGTTGATAAATTCTTTCAGGTTTTGTTTATCTGAGACTATTCTTGTCTTGTCTTCCCATATGAAGGGCAATCTTGCCAGGTACTGTATTCTTGGTTGAAATTGCTTTTCCCTTAACACTTTGGATATATTTTCCCATTCTTTCCTCGCTCGCATTGTTTCCAATGAGATATCTGCTGTTAGCCTGATGGGATATCCTTTGTAGGTAATTTACCGTTTCTCTCTTGTCAATCTTAGTATCTTGTCTTTGTGGTTTTGGTCAGTCTGGCTATAATGTGTCTTGGAGAAGACCTTGGATTGATTCTATTTGGGGGTCCTTTGTATTTCTTGGGCCTGAATCTTTGAGTGCTTCTCTAGTTTTGGAAAGTTTTCTTGCAGGATTTCATGGACTAGATTATCAATGCCCTTTTGAGTCTCTTTGCCTTCTGGGACACCAGTTATCTGGATGTTTGACGTTTGATGGTATCTAGTATTTCTTGTGTATTATTCTCATTTTCGCAGTCTTCATGGTGGATTTTTCTAGGCCAGTGATTCTACCTTCTACATCTGAGATTTGATTTTCTATATGATCTAGTTTGCTTTAAATACTTTAAAGGGAGATTTTGACTTTATTATAGCCTTCACCTCTAACTGGTCCTTTTGATTCTTTTTTAGTGTGTATATTTCTTCATTTAGATCTTGCAAGAATTTCACCTCCTGGAACTTGTCAGCTCCTTTCTCCTGCCTCTTCTGCAGTTCATTTTCTCTCTTCTCTTCCATCTCTGTTAGCTTTGTCATTATGAATATTCTAAAATCCTTATCAGACATCTCCATGAGTTTCACTGTACTGTTTGAGGGTGAAGAGATGTTATTCTTTTCCCTTGGAGGAGAGGTATTGTCTTGCCTTTCCATGTTTCTTGTGACCTTGCGGTGACTTCTAGTCATCTGATGGATAGTGTGTTTCTTCCTAATTTTTGAAGTTCAGACTGAGCGTTCAGAGGCGTGCAGAAGGATGTGATCTGCAATCTCTGTTCCGTTCTGTTTTTACTCTTTGTGCATCAGATTCACGGTGAAGAGAGGAATATTCTGACCCTAATCACATTCAGATATTTGGAAACTGTTCACTTGGACCTGTATAGACACTTAGTGTGTAGAGGCTGCTAGAAATGAGTCTGAAGGGGAAAGTCTCAGCAGAAAATCTTCATTTTGGGGTCTGGAAGGTAAGGTTAGAGAAGACTGACCCTAAGTGTATTTTTCAAGCCATCAAGGCCAGCATTTGAACCACACAGCAGGCTTTGAGGGATCTGGCTCCCTTAACCACTCAGCCATTGGGTCAGCCTACTTTGTAATATTAACCTTAACAACTATTGCCTATTTGTGATTTTCTGTGCTAGGCACTGTGCTAAGGAGTGCACATACATTTTTTTCTTTTCAGTTTGCCAGAGGGTCTAAGCACTCAACAGAGAGGAAAGGCAAGAAAGCACTCCCCCATGGGGCATGGTCATACCACAATCTGCTCTTCATCTCTGCATCCTTTTGGGAGGTGAATACACACACACACACCCAGCATGTCTCAAGCTGCAAAGTCCAGAACTTGAACTGCATGGTCAGCAGTGTGGTATCTAGTCACCCTAACCACAGGCCATGAATTGTCCCTGCATGTTATTAGGTTATTGGGAAAATCATGACTTGTTTTTCTATGCAAAAATGTGTCATGACTTTCCCAGTAACCCAAAATTTTGATCTGTCCTTCCCATCATATGATACACATCCACTGTATGTGGATGAGGAAATCGTTACAGATCATTTAACACTTATTTATTGGTTACCTACCTAACAGTAGCACTAGGAGAGGGCCCCTGGGGAGGCAGGTGAGTTCATAAGCATCTTTAATGTGAGAGGGATCCCATTTATAGTAGAGACCAGCACAGGAGCTTATCTGTTCTAGTCGGCGTGAATTGGTGGTTGGAAAATGGGATTTAGCCAGGCCTCTGGGGACATGAGCATACTCCAGGCCCAGGAGGCTGGCAAAGGGATCTTTGGAGGTCACAGCAGTTTGGTGCAGACTCCATTCCACTCATAGCTGATTTCTCCTCCCTGCTCAGGACAAAGAGAGCATCCAACGAGTCCTGCAGGCCGTGGATAAAGCCAATGGCTACTGTTTTGGCGTCCAGGAGCAGCGAAGCCTGGAGGCCATGATGTCTGCTGCAGTGGGAGCTGACTTCCATTTCTCCTCGTATCCTTGCTCTCTAACCTTGCCCGCATCCTGGCCGTAGCTGAGCGGGTAAGACACAGGGCTCAGGAAGGACCACAGGATGTATAGTCACCACCCATGAGTGCCGATTCCTACTGACAGTTGGGCTCAG